TCAAGAGGAAAATGTCTTCTTTCATATATCAAGCTGTTGGTCATAGTCAAAAGCTCCCTGTTCCTTTGAAAAGAATTCCAAACTCCTAACCTGACACATGGGCTCTAAATGATTTGATGCTAAAAAGTCAGATCTGGGATCCTATCGGAGCACTGCTATGTGTTCACCAGTTGTGTGGCCCTGGGCAAGACACTTCACATCTCTGAGCCTTGGTTTCCTAATCTAAAAAAAAAAAAATGGAATTTTACATGTATCGACTATGCAGTTGTTATAAAACTAAAAGTGGTCCAGTTGTGTCTCTGGCAGTAACTAAGTGGAAAGACCCTTCCCTGTGGCTCCATGACACTCAAAAAGAAACCATCAGAGAAAGTTTTGTGAGATGCCAAGAAGGAGCTAAGGCTCTGTGGAGAGTCTTGAAGCCTAATGCAGTTGATTAGAGACCAGAGTGATGGACTAGGTCCCTGTGTCACTTTTTGTTTTTTATTGTACATCCCAAGTATAGTCAGCTCACTGTATGCATGGGGTTTGCAGCAGTAAACTCAACAACCACAAATTGAACATATTCAGAAAACAAAAACAAAAACCCAGCATCTGTAATGAACATGTATAGATTTTTTTTGTCATCATTCTCTAAACATTATAACAACTATCTACATAATAATTACATTGTATTAGTATTAAATATAATCCGAAGATGATTTAAAATAAGCAGGAATATGGGCCTGGATTGTATGTAAACACTACACCTTTTTATATGATTCTCTAATCCTAATTTCCTTCCTCCCACTCCCACATCTGGGCAACTCAGAATCCCAGAGAATTGTCCCCCGTCACTTCCCTATTTGCTCTTCTATTGTCTAACATTGATCAAACTCCTTTCAGGTCTCGGTCGGTCTCTCTCTCTCTCTCTCTACACACACACACACACACACACACACAAATACATTTGTATTCTAGAAAGTGAAACAGGAAACTGAACTAACAGAACTAAATTTCCATCAGAGATCAATCAATACCATTGATTGAAATATTTCACTGAACATGAGGCTCCAAGGAGACACAGAATCCTCCTTCGCTCCTCCTAAGAGTACATACACTGACCCTCTGTCAATCTCTGGGATTTCACTTTACTTTTCATTGTAGATTACCCATAAGTATGAACCCCTATGCACGTAGAGCCCACAGCTGGAGAGAAGCTAAAGCTGCCGAAATTTCAGCTCGGGATTGAAGAGAAATAGGCTCTGGTCGTTTATGGAAAACATCCCTGACCCAGTAAGCCAAATCCACCCCATTTCTTCCCTATCATTCCAACCTCACAGAGAGCCTGCATGCTTAGTAAAATACAATGGTTCCTGGAGTCTAAGCATGGACTATCCAGACCTGCTCCATTACTTTCATCCATATCATAGCACCAACCCCTGATAAAAGGAAGACAAAAATCTGTTAAATGAGCCAATATGTAAAAGTCTTTCACCTGGTCCTTCATATACATGTTCACTATTTTATTCCTAGAAGATCCCTGAGGGTAAGGCATTATTATTTCTAAGTCACATAGGGATAAATGGAGGTTATCAAAGGCCAAGAAAACAGTCAACAAAAAGGATTTAGACCAAGGTCCACATGTCTCCAAGTCTATACCTTTCCACTCAAGAGTGAACATTTAGCATTCCACTTTCTTAGAATGTATTCTAATATACTTGCCTATGCTTCAGTGTGTGTCTATCCAAGGATGTGGTATGTGCCTTTGCCACTTTTCCTATAGGTCCCAGCACAGTGTCATGTGTTTTAAGGTAGGGGTGACAATGACGGCAGAAGAGATGCCTTCTAGATCATTTCTAAAGCTCTCTTTCACCAAGGTTCACTGAGATCTGATCCAAATCAGAGGCATGTAGCTATAGTAACCACATTCTTCAAAGGTTGTGCCTTTTTTATAATATTTAATATACTAGGTTATCATGACAAGTAAAAACCAAGATGAAGGGCATGAGAGGAAGTCAAGGGAAAGTTGGCCAGAAGACATGCAGAGAGGGTAGACAGAGCCACCTTTCCTTTCCTTTGAGCTCAGTCTTTACCCAGGAGCTGGTGGGGCCACTGAGTTTCTCTTTAGGGAGCTTCTTTTAGTTTTCAAAGTTCCTCTGATCCATCCAGGCCCTCCCTGTGAGTCTCACCACCATTACCTATACTCATGTGTTTTCTCTGAAGGTCAAGGTGAACATAACTCTTCCTAGTAGAATCCAGTGCTCCTTACTCTTTCCTAAACCTCTCCCACATTCTTTCTAACCCAGGTTAGTTCCCAGAGCATGGACAAAGCAGAGCATCAGCTGCCCTGCTTCAGATCCAACTTCAGTTTGATTGACTTGAAGGGATGAAAGTCAAGGAGGAGCCAAGCATTGCCTTTGTGCCTAATGAATTCCCTTAAAAATCACCATGCCTTATGACTCATGTAACTCTTCAACATTACTAAGGGCTTTCCAGTGTCATCCCATCATCTCTTATTTTCACTGCAATTCTTGAGTGAATGACAATGTCCTCAGGCACAGAAACTCCCACAGTTTTGCCCTCTCCACCAGCCTCAGCACCTCTGAGACCAAAAACCTTTTAGCAGAGAAAGAGCAGAAATGTGATCTTCCCAATACAAAGCCACAGAATTACTCAGTCTTTGTTGAAGATGGAAGAAGCCATAGCAGCTCTCTAACTACATATCTCTCACTTAAGGCCAAGATGCCCTTTAAATAAGCAATATCCAATAGAATGTTCTGTAATGATGGAAATGCACATATTTTCTCTGTCTTGTTGGGAACTGTGTGAGAGCAGATGTGTGCCTTTTGATCACTTGAAACATAGCTAACACAATTGAGCAGATAAATTTATATGTTAGCTCATTTTAACATTAATAGCCACATGTGGCTCGTGGTTACTGCATGGGACAATGAAGCTCCACAGCATCAACCACACTTTGCTGCAAGAGTAGTTTACTACCTCAGTTTGTTACATGGTGTCCTGAAGACCAAACAAAATCATGGAATTTTACAGAGTATACTGGTATACATGCCAAAAGCCTTATAAAACACTAACAGGATTACTTTTGCCTACAGTTTGGATTTTGACCACTTTAGAGACAAAATGCTTGCAAACCCTTATAGACTGATTGGGTTGGAAAAAGAGAAGTCACTGAAGAGCATCTAGCTCAATCCCTTCCCTCCATAGATGAGAAACAAGCTTGCCATTCACCTTGCTCCTCAGGTGAGCACCTGACAGAGCTCTCTAGAGAGTCCAATGCCATTCCATTCTTATTCCCAAAGTTTCTGACAACTTTCCTGGTTGTTCTTTACCTCTAGGTATCCCAGGGCAAAAGTCACACTGGGAAGAAGAATCTAGAACTATCACCACCACCATCATTAACTAGTCTTCTCCTTAACCATTTTACAAGGGCCACAGATCAGAGGTAAAGTGCAGGGCAGAGCTAAGGGAGCCCTGGGCCCAGGTTCATTAAAGCCCTTGAAGACCCTCCATCTTCATGTGTCCAGGCACCTATTTGGAAAGCCTTCAAATTCAGATGTTCAAATAAACATTTGTTTTTCTTTCATATTAGCTGAAAGCAGTGTTATCTGTTTAAATTTGAAGCCTCTATGCAAAATTGGTTTCCAGAGGAATCTTTTTCCTTTTGCTATTTGCTAAATGGATCCCTGGAGAGAAGGAATCCCCATTAGTGTGGGGTTCCAAAAGAGAAGATTTTTTAAATTATGAAGAGACATACTTTTCTTGTAAAAAGAAAAATATATTTGTTTTCTGTCTTTTTAAAACTGGTTAATAAGTAAAATGAAAATGCTTTTATTAGTTTTTACCACAAGTTTTTATTAGTGTTATTTGGAGCTCTTTGGTCATCCTATTTGTTAAAGAGACAAGTCTGTGATAGGTAACCACTCATTCATCAAATTCTTATCGAGCACCTTCTTCCAGTCATTACTCGGGGCACAGCATTATCTTACAGGGGAGACAGCATTCATCCGTTCAATATTTATTGAGTCCCTACTAGACAGACAAAGTCCCTATCTTCATAAAACCTACAATCCAGTAATGGGAGGCTTATGATAATCATGTGCACAAAACAGCAAGATCCCTTCAGATAGTCCAAGTCCCATAAAGAATATAAAAGCAGGGTGAAGGATGGCGGTGGCATGGAGATATGCTACTTTAGGGTGGTTCGGAAAGTCTGCTGTGGGAAGATGACATTTGCACCAGGGCCTTAAGGTTGTGAAAGAAGCAAATGAGGCACAAGGACAGATGTGCCAAGGCTCTGAGATGAGAAGAGGCACAGCATGCTTTAGAGACAGAGGCTGGTGAGGCTGGAATGAGGTGAACAAGTAGGAAGTGGCAGAGGAAAGGCCTGAGCCAGGGGCAGGTTCAGATCATGCAGGTATACACAGGCCACAGTTAAAGGTGCGAATGCTGTTCTTGGTACAAAGGAAAGATGCTTGGGTGTGGAGAAGTTATGTGTGAGAGGTTTATAAATATAAATGGCTACAATCATGGATAAAATATTTACAGCACAGGAAGAATGAGCCCAAAACAGGCTATTACAAAGTATTATAGGAGCTACATTAATAAAGAAATCTGCAGTACAGGAAGAGGGGGTCAGAAAAGACAAGGCCTCTTGAAGCAATGGCATTCCAAGCCATAACAGCAGACGCAAAGATGAGGAAGTATGAAATGGCATATGGGAGGAAATCACATGAGCTCAGTCTGGAGGGGGTAGGTCTGAGTCACACAAAGTCGGGCCTTAGAAACCAGCCCTTGGAATTGAATATATATTGTAGATCACTTATTCTCAACTTTGGTTCTTAAAAAAATACTAGTACCCAGGACCTATGCCAGGCCAGTTAGATCAAAACTTCTAAGGGTGAGAGGGCAAGCACTGGTATATTAAAGCTAAGTGATGCTAATGCATGACCAGAGTTGATAACCACCCTTTAAGGTCAGGGGCACTGCAGGGTTTCAAGTAAGCAGGAACAACCATTTATTTTAAAATTTAAAAATGTGGTTTTCTTGAGATTACATTTTATAATACAGTATTTTAAAGTATAAAACGTTCAGGAAATGATGATAAATTAATTATCTGCATTTGCATTGAAAAGTTTTAAACATTATTACAAATAGAGCTATAACTTTCCATTCCTCCTAAACTTTGGCCTCTCAGTTGTGACAGATTTAGAAACTCCAAACAGAAGAAACCATCAGCAATACAGAGTTGCTAAATTTTAGAGCCAGAAAAGTGCCCCAGAAAGTCCCCCCACCCATTTTACAGATATAAAGAGAGAAATGCAAAGAGATACCATGACAAAGACTAGGTCAGCAGCCAAGGCAGAGGAGGAACCCAAGCTCCTTCCTCCACACCATGCTGCTTCCTATTTATTACTCAAGTAAGAAACACTGTCCGATTTCCGGACTTCGCATTTTTCACAATATGATGCAGATAGTGAAAAATCACTTAATTTCAGAAGATCAATATAAAAGAGGAAAATAATGAAGGATAAAGTCCAAACAAATCAAATATAGCTTTTGGCACATGGAACTTTATTTTTCAGGTTATCCGACCTCCGTTCATGACCTCGCTAGTGACTGCTGCTTCTGATACTTTGATATTTCCATACGTTTCTTTTGTTCCACAAAAGACAAGTTTTCTACAGGTCAGAAATTCTTGTTAAGGTATGTATTTCAAGATGTAGATTCACACCAGCGTCCAGAAATGAAAGAGTTGGAAGCAAAAGACCCAGAAGCCAAGGTCCACTCCAATGCCACAGGAGATATTTGCATAGAAGAATCTCCAGCTTGATCCTAGAATCAAACACCTGAGGGCTTTTGGGGTCTGTATTTGGAAATACCATTCCAACAATGAAGGTTTGAAATACACTGCTTATTTTAAAGCTATGCCAGGCAAATGCAGAGCAGTGCCATCTGCATTTATACTGCCATCTTTGAAACCATCCAAGATTCATAAAGCAGCAAAGGCCCAAAATGTGGCTTTTCTCCATTACTTGATGCAGTCTTTAATTTTACTTTGCTCTGGACAAGTTGGAGGAAGCACATTGGAGATTTTAAATACCAGATAAATTTATCTGAAACAGAGGTAATGGATGTCTCAGCCAAGGTCACTGTCCAATGTGGATGCAGCAACAGCTATAAAAACTGACCCTGTACATTTAAGTGTGTGAGTTCTGCAAAATCCAAAAGACAGTGCTTCCTGTGGCTCAGCATGACCACAGAATAGGTTGTATTTAAACAGGCTGTCAGCTACAAAAGCTGAAGACAGTCCCCAGCGGGGGCAGATAACTGCAACTGAGTAAACAGAAACAGTGATTTGGCCAATGCTTGGTCATGGAAAGGTAGAAGCAAATCCTCAGGCATCAAAAAATCAGATGACACACAAGCAAGATTATATAAAGGGAAGCTTGAGAGGAAAAGACAGAGCTTAGAAGGTGACCCAGAACAAGCCTATATATCAGAAATATGAGGTCAATACGCTCAAGGCCCTCTAGGCCAGCGGTGGTTGCTTCTGACTTTAGAGGTACCAAGTTTATCAGGACAACCATCAGGATTCTCCAGCCAGAAATTGTGTTTCAGGTTCTTCTCAGAGTACACTCAGAACTCAACCATGGTTTGGAATAAGGATAAGGGTCCCCAGACATGGCTTGTCTTTCCAAGCTGTGAAACTACATTTTGCAGTCCTTTAAGATACTCGGATATTCCTCTTTCTTGAATAACTTTAGTTTTGTCTTAATTTCCCAAAAGAACAACATTACTCGACCCTATCCAGTTTTTCTACAGTCTTACAATGTCTATGAGATTTATTCTTTCAATTCCTGAGTCAAGGTCCAAGTATAGATCAGTACTCTATTGTATTATTTATTCATTTCTTTTTCTACTTCTATAGTGTTTCTTCTTCTTTAGAATTGCAGATCCAATTCTAAAAACTATTATGTGTTTTAGAACCTATTTTGCTCTCATAGCTATTTTCTGAAGTGTATCTAGCTTGTAAATATCCACAAAGAATCTCCAAAGCTGGTCATGGTGGTTCACACCTATAATTCCAGCTACTTGGGAGGATCACAAACTTGAGATCAGTGGGCAACTTAGTGAGCCCCTTCCTCAAAATAAAATTTAGAAAGGACTGGGGATATAGCTCAGAGGTAGAGTGCTTGCCTACCATGCTTAATCCTCAGTACTGCAAAAAATAAAAGAGGAGAATTTCAACAAAAAATATATTTTTGTGTCACCAACAGATTTAGGTTATAGAAATGCATGCCCTAACGCAGCATTAGATGAGGACATTTTTCTCTTGAGATGTTTTTACATTACTGCAAGATGATTTTTCAAAACAAATACTTTACCCACTTCCTATCTGTGAAACTTTATATACTCCACACATGGTGGTTCCATTCTACTTTTAATACTTCTGGAAACAAACAAAAAACAAAACAAAACAAAAGCTGGCTCAAATATCATTATCACAAAAGCTATGGTTCCTTCACACTGTATGAATGGCCAACCATCTGTTGGCAAGTCCTGCGGCAACTACCTGCCCTTCATGGGTGCTTCCATTTTCTGTTCAACCTCCTCACAAGAGGTTTGCCAAGAGTATCTTCGAGTCCTGGGGTATGAGCCCCAGCTCAGTGAAACTTTCTGACCAAGGTACATTTTTAGGCACTCATATCAGCATGCTGCAGAATTGAATGCTCTTTTTTTTCTTTTCCTCCTTAATCATTCTCATCTTCCAGTGTCATGTGATCAATGAAGAAAGTGTAGTGAGTACAGCTAAGTGAACTGTGGGTAGTTTGCATTTGTTCCCTCTGTGGTCCTGTGAGGATACTGCAGCTTCAGAAACAACAGTCTCAAGGAGTGAGTGCTACACACGGCTACTGGTGTCATCTTTGCCACGAACCTCCCTTCACTCAGCAGGCACTGCCCACGCAGGAAGATGCATTCCGTCTTCTTGTCTCCTTTAGATATGCCTGTATCATTAGATGGTATGTGGAACTCATGTTTGTTCTTCACCCTCGAATAACCTACAGTCAGGAGGGCTTCCCTTTGCATGAAGGAAGTTCCATTTTGCTAAGGAGAAAAAGGAAAAACTATAGTTAGTGCCTCTACATTCTAGACAGTCTTCTCTGTTGTAGATAAATCTGATGATAAGCCCCATCCAGAGGGCACTAAGCATTATTCCCACTCTGAAGGCCTCACCTCAGGACTAAAAGTTGGTGTTCAACTTTGCCTCAGAGCAAGGATTCATGATAATTCAGATATGATTTAAACACATGATGGAAATGTAGCATTGGAGCTAAAACAGATATAGTATTCAGAGTCCAGATAGATTTAAACTCTTACCTTTCAGTGAGGAGATATCGCTTTTTTTCTTTGTGAATCTCAAGTTGAAAGGCCACAAGGAGCTGAGTTCCAAGTTCCTTCTGACTCCCACACCTTCACACTGGCTCTTACTCCTGCCTCTCCTGACCACTCAAGGCCATGAGCTTCTTGTCTGATAATCTCCACAGACTCCAGGAGTGCCCACTCCACCCAGACTTTTAAGGCCTACTTAGAAGGACTGGAATTTGTCCTCCAACCTGTGGAGCAAAATTCAACAAGAAGCAGCCCACAAAGAAGGTGCTGAATTTTCCTTGCCCCCAAACCCTTCTTAGTAACCTAGCAGCCTGTTGGAAACACAAGCAGCCATCACATTTAAGAGCTGTGCCTGGCTCTGGGTGGGACTCAACATCACCTGGAACCATGGGCCATTCTACATTAAAGGTGTTCTGTATCATTTCTAGGGATGATTTGGAAGAGGCACAATACATGTCCCAATATTTGAACATCAAAGCTTAAACACTTTATTTGGGGTCTATGAAATCTGTGAGACTATTTTTTCAGATTCCACATATGAGATCCTGCAGGATTTCTCTTTCTGTGCCTGGTTAATTTATACCTGTGGTTCTGATCTTCAAAAGCATCTTGGAGCTAGAGAAAGAAGAAAATTGGGAGGTGATCCTATAAGCCTTTGATGTGAATGCCCACAGGCTCAGAGGATTAAATGATCTGGGAGATGTTCATATGGCTCTCACTTTAGGGAGCAGATCTTGGCCAGAGGATAGGATCTATGGACACAGAATGTTTTTGGTGACATGCACAAGGACCATGAGATGTGTATTTCCTTTTATTTTTTTTATTTTTTGGTGTTTTTTTAAAATTTGTTCTACTTACTTGTACACGACAGCAGAATACATTTCAATTCATTGTACATAAATGGAGCACGACATTTCAATTCTCTGGTTTTACACGGTGTAGAGATGCACCATTCATGTAATCACACATGTACCTAGGATAATGATGTGAGACATATATTTCTGTGCCATGAGAATCTGTTTCTACCCTGACCTACTGGGATAAAGAGCAAATTGGGAATGAAAGGGAAGAGAGAAAGAAGAAAGGGTAGTGCTGAGGATGGAGACTAAGTTTGAGGACAGAGGTAGAACTAGCAAAGTCATTTCAGATCATTTGTTATTGAGTATAGTTGATAGTTCATTTCTATTTCAATTATTATGATCTAATTTACCCCCTCTCAAGGGAATTTCTAGAGACATCCAAAAGCAATAACAACAATGTATTGTGTTGAGCCCCAGTAAACAGGGCTGATTCCTCACAATAACTGCAAATATGAGCATTCACCACAAAGTGTTAATAACCGCTCTGTAACACCTGGAGTGTCAAATTTACATGAATAACAGTTTATCCAGTATTTGTATTACTTTTCTGCAGGAGCTGGGGGAAGAATGCTTGAAGTGTTTTGTTGTTGTTTGTTTGTTTGTTTAATGTGGGAAGATACAGACATTAAAACTTGCCTTTTTAGCTACTTTTAAGTATATAAGTTGGTGGCACTGAGTGCACTCACTCTGTTGTGCAATCATCACCCCATCCATCTGCATAATACCTCTATCCTCCCACCCTGAAACCTGCATTACGTCTCACAATGTGTGAGCCTCCCCAAACCCCAAGGGTAGGACTCCATCTAGATTCCTGTTCAGTCCTGGAGAGAACTACAACATACAATATTATATAGCATTTTGAGGTTTACAAAATGTTTTTCACAATAGTCACATCAACCCTGAAAGCCTCCATAAAAGGGAAATAATACCAAAAACCAGAGAGAGGATGGACTTGCTCACACAGAACAGGTGACCGTGGATAGAACCAGCTTGGTTCCCACTGTGCATCCACTATGCCTGGGCACCTCTGACACTGTGAAGAGAAAAAAGTTTTTGGAGTGCCTATAAAGGCCAAGCTATCTCCTGTCCTGCCCTCTATGTAATGGGCTTTTGTTGTTGTTATTGTTGTTGTTCTAAGAATTGAACTCAGGGGTGCTTTATCACATTCCCAGCCCGTATTTTTTTATTTTGAGGTGGGGGTCTCAATAAGTTGTCTAGGGCCTTGATAAATTGCTGAAGCTGGCCTCAAAATATGATCCTCCTACCTCAGACTTCCAAGTAGCTGAAATTACAGGCATGCACCACCATGCCCAGCTCTTATGGACTTCTAGCTGAAAGACAGAGCTTCTTGGTGTCCCAGAAAAAGAAGGCAGTTTTCTTACATAGCTCTCACTGCAAAAACCAGCTTAGGACATTTACCATTTCCCCTTCTCCTCTCCCACTTCCACCCTACCCACATTCCGTGCACCTTTTCACACAAACCACCATAGTACACCCCATTACCCTCCTCTTGCATGTACTTCCTCTATACCTGGTGATTATTCTAACCAGATTTCTTCTGCATAAAAATGTAAGCACTCAATAGACCCCATCTAGTATGATTTCTTCTTCCTGCACATAATAGTGAAGGCTCTGCCCATGGCTTTCCATTAAGGTCATGATGCCCCAAGTATCTGATAGGTCACCTCCACCTAAGGGACGAGGTGCTTTCAAGAGTGGATTTGCCCCTATGTAGGTCTTGTCATAATTCCATCATGAATAACAAGTTTAAATTTCTTACCACAATTAGAAACTCAGTGCTGGTCCTAGTGCTGAAAACAGTCATCTAAGTGTCTACACAGTCATCTAAGCATTTTGTTTCCCTGGAATTTTTAATATATACAGTGAACCCCACTGCATTGGTTTCCCAGGGCTGCCATACAAGTTACCACAAAATGTGTGATTCAAAACAACAGAAATTTATTATTCCACAATTCAGGATATAAGTTCAAAATCAAGGTGCCCACAAGGCCATGCCTTCTCTGAAGACTACAAGAAAGATTCTTTCTTTGCCTTTCCTGACTTCTGGTGTTTCCTGGAAATCTTTGGCCTTCCTTAGCTTGAAGCTACATCACTCAGGTATGCTTCTGTCTTCTTCTCTGTGCATTCTCTGCTCTTCTTATAAAGATGCTAATCACTGAATTTCAGGGCCACACTCATCTAGCATGAGTTTATTTCATTAACTATTATCTGCAAAGGCCCTATTCCCAAGCAAGGTCCCATTCTGAGGTCCCAGGTAGACATGAACATTCAAGGAACATTTATTAAGCCCAGTACACTCACCTTCCATCTCCAAGGTATGTCAAATTCAATTCCTTGTTTTCCATGGTTTTTGTTTGTTTTTGCCTCTAACACCTGCTTCATCCATCTCAATTCTGCTTTTGAACACATTCATCTGGAGACCTTTCTAGACACCTGCTTCCACCCCCCATTAAACTCCTCTGGATCTCACTTTAAAATGGGTGCCTGAGCACAGGTCAAAAGGGAAATAATGCTAAATTGTCCAGAGAGACTTCATTGTTTCAAGAATCTATCTCTCCCCCTCCACCCCCGTACTGTATGCTCATCTCACATTCAGCACTGGGCTGGAGGTTACAGAGGTCCCTGCCCTCAAGGGGCTTCACAGAGATGGGCTATTGCACACCTAGTGGAGGGAGAAGGCAAAATGTGGCTAAATGAGTTTAAAAGTGGTAGAAAGCTCAGAAGAAAAAAAGAGTTACATAAGCCAGTGGCCAGGGAAGTATGGCATGAGCCAGGTATTCAAGGATTGTCCAGATTTCAGCCGGTAGAAACAAGTTGAAACAACACAAGAGAAAACCTGGGGAAAGGTGTGGGATATTCAGAGCTCTGTGAGGAGGCCCCATCTGACTAGTGGAATTTGCTGAAGTTGTATAGGCAATTGTTTGCAGATATACACCTGATCTTGTAGGGCCTTCAGTCCAGGCAAAGATAACCCATTAAAGGTTTCTAAGCACTTGGTGAGTTAGACTAAGTGGTGTTCAGGGAAGCTAGATCTGGTTGTGTGTGCATGACAGGCAGTGGGGAAGGGGGTTGGCAGGGAAGCCTTGGCTGGGAGCCCAGTTAAGAAGACAGGCTCTAGGGCCAGTTTTATTTCTCCACTATCTTGCCTTGTGAAAGCCAAGTGAATCCCCATCCATTGCCATAACCTTCCTCAGACTCTGCAATCAATACAGCCGTCCTGACATGGCTGGGGTGGGGGCATACTGGCTGGCCTCCAAGCCCTCCCTTCCCATTAACATGATGAGTTGCAGAGGGCATGTCAGAGAGAGCTTTCAGAGAATTCCAGGAATGGAGATCCCCTTTGCATAAAAATCCCCCAACAGGCAGAAGGGAGCTCAGGATTGCTTTGCAGATCAACCCATGAATGCCTCTTGGGAACAAGGCCTGTCCAGGGAGAACAGAATCACGCTCTCGGTTCAGATCCAGCTTCTTTCCACAGCTATAGTAGCTTAGGACCGGTGCTGGCAGTCCAGAGATAATGAAGAGACCCTCTGCTCAGCTCTGCTTTATATAGCGTCTACCAGACAACTGGCTATTGTCTCCCTGTGAAACGGGGCACTTCCTGGGAGGGGTGGGCTGTCTCTCCTATAATGCTCCCATCTGGCTTCTTCCAGTCATGAGACACAAGCCCAATGGAGGCTATAATGTACACTCATCTTCTCTACAAACATCCATGAGAAGACCTTAAGGAGCAGCAGCAGAGTGGAGGTCACATAAAGGGGGCAGATCAATTTCTGAAGTCCACCAGGTACATCTCCTCACAAGGGAGCCCGAGCAGAAAGGGAGCTCCCAAGAAACTGAAGAATGACTGAATTCCATGTCTCCTCCTTAGAAGGACTTTGTGCACCGTCACCAGCCCAGATCCACAGCCCCCGTGGTCTGCTACACAGTGCAGGGGGAAGAGCTGATGTGAGATTTCCTGAATGGGTTAAAGCAAAGAGGAGAAAGGCACACTCTCCACTCTTTCCCGGTTGCTCTGGAAACTCAAGCTTTGTAGAGACAGACAGTATCCAGGACAGCAGTCCACAAGGAAAATGACCTCCTCCAGGATGTTTTCCTCTCGGTAGTGATCAATGTAATTTGAAAGACATAACAACTTCTGCCGCCTCTATTTCAGAAGGGGGTGCAAACAGATGATCTATTTGGACTAAAATTAAACTCCCTCTGTGTGTAACTTCTTAATGATATTTATATATCGAATCTGACTCACACTTCTAATGTGGAAAGGTTTTATTAACATAACTACTTATCCCAGCCCACTCCCACTGGGACTCATGGCTCTAGCCCAAAGGACATTTTGACTATTTCCATGTTACCCTAAATTCTGGCACTGATTAATGTTTCATGACAAGCACATTCACAGATTCTATGAGAAACTCCTGATTGTCTCCGGGTAACAACTATGAAGCAGAACTGGAGGTAAGAGGTAGCCTTGTCTAGGCAGGCTGGGGGTCTGGACACCCAGGACCTGACCCCAGCACCATCTATATGATCCAGTCACAGTTCTCCTCGGGGCCTCAGGTTCCTGTCCATAGAAAAATACTGCTGGCCCAGCACAGTCCTTCGTTCTCTTCCAGCTCTGACTTCCCGTGATTGTGAAAGATGTTTAAAAATATCTTCAGGGAGAGAGATCTCACAATATTATTTAGTCATGAGAAGATTGAACTAATGATATCTAATATCTCTGTGTTCTGAAAGTCTGTGATTCTGTTATACACAATGGTTTTTAAACGTGCATCAATTAATTAAAAATTAAATAAAAAATGAAAACAAACAAAACAGTAGTCTTTTAAAAAAAATGTGTATTTAAAAGAATAGAAGCTAAAGAGCCTGAACTAAAATCTCTAGCTGTTCAACATATACTTAGCAGTAGCAGTAGTAGCAGAAATATTTTAGGTTCTTTAACTTCCCACACAAATGAGTGGACAAGATCAAAGTAATGTAACTTCTGGGCTGGCAAAGACTTGTAGTAACTAGGACGCTTTCCTGATTGAAATGAAATGTGACAAATGTTAGTACATCACACGGTAACCCTAACTTCGTATCTGTTATATTTTTGTCATTAAGCAGGAGGGAGAACCCAGGACCCCAATATATGAAAAAGATTTCCTCCTGACGGAACTGACAGGGGCACCCCTCTGACCCAAGCTTGACAGCAGACCCTGAAGCAACAGAGAAGATCTCAAGGTGTGGAAGAGCATGGGTAGGGTAACCAGAGCGTCCACCAGTGCCCAGTTTGTGTATGTTACTATGCAAAATCTGCCATCTGGGTTGGCTTCCCCGTGGTTAATAGGACATGGACTATCTCAAGTCACATGGATATATGAAGTGGGGCATGATGCACAGACAAGGCAGGCGAGATGCTTGAAATAACAGAGAACAGGGATGGGCAAGAGTTGAGGTCAGATGATCAAGTGTTGGTAAGGTTTCTGTCAGTCCCCAAGTTTAACTAGAGACTATCATTTGACACTGACACAGGTAAGCTAATTCCCTTGAGGAAGTTCTTGAGTACTGGTATACAGAAGGTACTCAAGTGTACTTTTTGAACAAATGGAAACTTAGAAAGAGGCTATTACTCCAATGAGGTTTGCTTAATGAACGATGTTTCCCAGTGATGGCAGCTCAGACTTTCAGGTTAGGGCCAGGAGAGAGGAGCAGAGGTAGAAGGCAACTCTCCAAATGGTGCCTGGACCAGATCCCGATGTTTCCTAGGAGGGAGAAGTATGCTCCATCTACCACCGTGAGTATAGAGAAGAGGAATATTATCTTGATGGATTGGGGCTTTGCCAGAGAGTTGAGGTCCCTCCATGATTTAAACTGGATGGGACCCTTGGGAAAGGGGTGCTCATTCATCTGAGGGAACCCTCCTTAGCTTAGGCGCTCCCAGCCCTACCTCCTTTAGAATCTCCAAAACCTAAAAGATTTCAGGCTGCTAGAAGCAGCTGGACACCAACAAAAATCCCTCCACAGAGTAATTAAGATAAGCAAGAAATTAAATGCTCTGGGTGTCTAATTCCTAAGTACTCCTATCAGGCAGATGTGATGAACCCCAAGAAATGGGCATGAACCAAGCCTGTTTGCAGAGAATGCTTACCTTGCGGTGAGGAGAACTGGCATTAGACAAAGTAACAACCATATTCAATTGGCTCTTGTGAGAAGTTGTATTAAATTGAAAGTAGGTATTGTATTCCTTTAAATTCCACTTCTTATGATATATCCATCTTCTAACAGAGAGGACAGTTAACTGCCTGGTTTGTTAACTATGTGTTCATATCGTGATTCTATTACAGTCATTTTACTTGGAGAAGTCTATAGGTCAATGGATTTCATATCTGGAAACTTCCTAGACCTCTGATCATGCTCTGGCCTATCTTGGTCCTCCCTGTCTGTCCCCAGAGACTAGCTACTTATTTAGTAAATCAAACTCAAAGTAATATGAAATTACTCCATGGCATCTCCAAATTTTAATGCAGGAAACAGACCCACACATACAGTCACCTGTATGGCTAAATAGAAAGAAAAAGAGTTTTTCCCTCACCCTACACAAAAAGCACTTCAAAATGGATTACTGATCTAATGTAAAAAGTAAAGCAATAAAGCTATCAAATACAAAAACAACAGGGTAAACAAAGTTTTCTTAAACAGAACACAAAGAGCACTAACTATTAAAGGAAAAAATTGATAAATTTGGTTAACATTAAAAATAATAGCCAACAATAGAAAGAGATATTATTTCCCTATGTACATGTATGATTACACTAGTGGAGTGACCCTGAACCATGTATAACAAGAGGAATGAGAAGTTGTGCTCCATTTGTGTACTACACATCAAAATGCATTCTACTGTAAAATTATTCAGTTAATTAATTTAAAACAATTAATAGCCAGATGTGGTGGTGCATGCCTATAATCATAGCAGCTTGGGAAGCTGAGGCAAAAGGATCACAATTTCAAGGCAAGCCTCAGCAACTTAGTGAGACCCTATCTCAAAATAAAAAAATAAAAAGGGGATGTGGCTCAGTGGTTAAGCAACCCTGAGTTCAATCTCAGTACTAAGAATAAATAAATAAAACATTAATAGGACATTATTAAAAACTAATAGAACATTATTCTACACAAATACATAAATATGCCAAGAAGAGTGTAAAGAGGCAAGCAAAAGACTGGAAACAATATTCAAAATATGTATAATCCACAAAAGACTCATATCCAGAATTCATGAAGAATTCCTACAACTCAACCAGGAAAAGGAAGACAATTTAATAGCAAAAAGGAGGCAAAAAAGATTCACATTATGAAAAAGAATATCCAAGTGACCAATAAACATATCAACCTCATTAGTTATCAGGGAAATGCAAAAAACAAACAAATAAACATAATTTGACACTATTGTCACCTAGCAGATGCTATCATCTAGCAAAAACTAAAATGAAGAAAAAAAATGATATCAAGTATTGTCAACGACATGAAACAAAAGGAAGTCTCCTATCAGCTGGTGGAGATATAAATCATTACAACCACTTGGGAATATATTTGACAGTATTCACTGGTAACTGGCAGCATTTATTTGTAATTCCTCTTAAGTATACAATGCATGAAACTAAGTATATGTTCATCATTAGAGGTATACAAGAGTGGCCACAGCAACTCTATTCCTAAGAGCCCCACAACAAGATACCTTTACAGTAAAATGGATAAATAAGTTGGGTTATACTTATATAGTAGAATATTACACAGCAATGAAAATTACAATTGCTACACATAACATGGACTAATCTCACAGACAAAATGTTGAACAAAAGAAGACAGACATAAAACAGGATATAATCAAGCATTTCATCAGAATAAAGTTTTAAATCAGGCAAACTCACCTGTGGTGTTCAAAGTCACTACAGAATGATTCTTAAGAAAGTAGTGAATGGAAGGAACAATGTCCTGGGGTGCAGGTAATGTCCCCTTTCTTTATTTGTGAGTTGACTGTCATGTGTGTTTAGTGTGTAAAAATTCCTCAAACTGTACACTTAGGATTTATGTACTTTCTTTATGTAAGTTATACTTCAGTAAAAAGTTTGTAATGAGAAAATATACACACAAAAGCAAATTTAAAGAACAAAGTCTATGTGGAGGCTTATAAAAACCGGAGCTGGTAGAGCACTTGCCTAGCATGCAAGAGGCACTGGGTTCGATTCTCAGCATCGCATTGCATATAAATAAATAGATAGATAGATAGATAGATAGATAGATAGATAGATAGATAAAGATCCATTGACAACTAAAAAAATATATATTTAACATCAATGTTTATAGGAGCACAATTCACAATAGCTAAACTGTGGAACCAACCTAGATGCCCTTCAATAGATGAATGGATTTTAAAAATGTGGCATATATATACAACAGAATATTACTCAGCAATAAAAGAGAATAAAATCATGACATTTGCAGGTAAATGGATGGAGTTAGAGAAGATAATGCTAAGTGAAGTTAGCCAATCCCAAAGAAAACAAATGTCAAATGTTTTCTTTGCTATAAGGAGGCTGATTCATAGTGGGATAGGGAGCAGGAGAGTGGGAGGAATAGACGAACTCTAGATAGGGCAGAGGAGTTGGAGGGAAGGGAGGGGTCATGGGGTTATTAATGATGGTGGAATGTGATGATCATTATTATCCAAAGTACAGGTATGAATTCACAAATTGGTGTGAATATACTGTGTATACAGCCAGAGATATGAAAAATTGTGCTCTCTCTATATATAATAAGAATTGTAATGCATTCTGCTATCATATATAAATAAAAAAGAAAAGAAAAAAGAAAACCACCGCATATAAATAAGTAAATAAATAAAGGTCCATTGACAACTAAAAAAATATAAAAAAAGAAAAAGAAAACCACCTTGCAAATCCAAACCTTTTAAATGATAGCAAAATTGATAGCTTCTAATTGCCCAGAATATTCTTCTCTAAAATAAAATTTTGACCTTTTTATTCATTTAGAATATATACCTCACTTTCAGAAAAGAATTTGAAGCCATAGTCTTTTTAATGAACACACACATTAGAGGCTTTTTAGTTTTCACTGGAAGCTTTTAGAACATCAAAATTGTTCAATTTTGCTTGGTTTTTTACTCTTTTCCCCCATGTTAACATATGAATTTTTAATACCATTATTCTTGGCTAACACCCTGTAATGAAGATTAACAACCTTAATATTTATAAAACCAGCAAAGAAATTAGGCTGAGCAGAACACAGTCCCCCAAGTCAGGAACTGCGGAAGGCCTCAGCCAATGGCTGTGGTTGAGGCACAATGGCGGAGTGCTCACTGGAAAGGGAAGACTGGGAGCAATTATCTCAGTGATCCAAGCCAAGAAACACAGCCATGCTATTCAGGAAAAAGAGGGGACACGGAGACCAAGTCTGCTTCTAGTGAAAAGGAGCCTGGCTGGCCAGAAAAAGCTGATGCTTCCCCACCCTGATGTGTGTGCTGGCTTTCAGCCCCTGGAAGGCTTTTCCAGGGGCGGGATCATTCTCTTCCATGCCTCATAGCTTACAGTTTCCTAGATACTAATATCAGCTGAGTCTCATGCTAAGCCCAAAAGGATAATAGAGAAGGTTACTATTATTATTTTGGTGATGAAAGAGCTGAGGCTCAGACAATTAAAAGACTCCTTAAAGCCACACAGCCAGTAAGTCACACAAGGACAGATATATTGGGCCCAGTACTCTGTCCTCTGTGCCATAGGGTCTCCTGGCTTCTCTCCAAACCACTGATCGAGAATGAGAACACAATCTTAAGACTTAAAGAAAAATAGACATTATCATTATTATTATTATTATTAGATAGTGGGCAGCAGACCACTTAGAAACTGTGCCATAGTCCAAGGACAGTGGTCTACCTTTAGAATCATGCATCATGGAGGCACTTGGTGGGGGTTGCGGGTATTGTAGGAGACAGGATTGGGGATGATCAGTTGTTGAGTGGAGCAATGGTTTGAATGCCCCGATCTGACTACTACAGAAAGGTCATCAGTGGCAAAGGTGGAAACACCTACCATCAGAACAGGCTTTCCTACAGACAGGAAACTGACACCTTGAGACACAGAAGATACTGTGCTGAAAGCCACTCATGAACACAGTAGGCTTGGGTTCTGTTACAGATGGTTCACCATGTTGCCCACACTAAATGCCACAATGAGCACAGGCACTGCAATCCAGCAGACCTGGCTCTGAACCCCTTCTATGTTTCCCTTGATATGTGCCTCAGAACAAGTTACTTCTCCGCTCTAAGCATCAATTTCCTTGGCCATAAAATAGCAATGATAATACCTACCCATCAGAATCAATGTGAAAATTAATAAAATAATATATAAAGCTCCTGGCATAGAGCAAACAATAACTAAATTTTAGCCCTATCTCTATTCCCCAAATTAAAAGGAGAGGAGAGGGTTCTTTTTGTGAGCTTTTTAAAACACATGACATGAATAGTTTGTGTCTTCCTTGCCAACTAGAATGAAATAGAAACACAAATCATCTAAATTCATACCTTATAGGATAATCATTATGAATACATCATAACCTCACATGACCTAATTTAAGAACTTCTCCCTATTTTTCCTCCTTTTTCACCTGGAATTAATCTGATTAAGTCAATCCATGTTTCACTTCCTGAAATAGAAATTGCAATAAGCTCTTTAATTTAAATAATTGATTAATATAACAAAAAGTGTCATCTATAGTCAAAATCCACACCCACAATTTTCTCTAGGACCAATGTTGCCAAAAGCTGCCTGAAATAAAAGACAAGTGTCTGACTTTACAGTTAACTCCAGGTATTCCCCTGGACATACTCCACATATTATACAGAAAAGCTAAGAGAAGGGGTTTTATATCTGGTTTCTATCACTTTTTTAAAAAGTAAATGCAGTCTCAGAGATCTACAGGTATTCTTCCATGAGAATGTTCTGCTATTGCCTATAACTCTATGAACACCATAGTCTGGTCCATCTTCCCATTTGTCCTATTTCTGTCCATGGCTGCATGTGCTTAGAATTTCAGAAATAAGAAACTGGAAAAGACTTCCATTTACTGACCACGTGCTTCCAGATAGAGGGGATAACTCCCACACACATACACACACACTCAGTGGTTCTTCCATGCACCTGCCTGGGTTGCTGCCCTTGTGTCCTTCCCCCATTCACCAACCTGAGCTCTGCCCTAGAGCTTTAGGAAACAGATAAAATCTCATCCATCTTCACTCTTGATGCCCAACAATGTGGAAGGCAGCCATTATGTTTGTACACATATTTTATGCTTTGAATCAAACACTTATTGATAACCAACTATGTGTCTCATGCTGCTTTAAGTGCTAAGACAGGACTATCTATACAAGACTCTCTCACTAGTCCCTTAGAACTTCTAGATATAACCTGACCACCTGTTCCTCCTCCACATAGGTCATTAATGCTCTTCTTAAAATGTGATATCCAGAATATGGGAGCAACAATAAATGGGTGAGTCTGTGTTATATCTGCAGTGTCAATTTCTTAGTTTTGACACTATATTATAGTTGTGCTAGATGTTGACAGCAGGGGATGCTGGGTGAAGTGCACACAGGACCCCCCACCACCAACACCACCAACAAGTTTTTTTGGAACTTTCTACAAATCTGTAATTCTTTCAAAATTAAAAATAAAATAAAATAGATGGATGAGATGCTATTGATGAGAATTTCTGACAGGACAGCTCAACATCTAATGAAAGGACTGAACTAGGATGAGTCTATCCGTTCAAATGCTCAAAATAAGCAAGGGAAAACTGAAAGCTCAAACTCTGCCAATACCTCAGAGCAAACTTCTTCCTGGAAGCACAACATGGAGCTCCATGAATAGGAATCCATCTGCAGAGCCTATCCTTCATTCCAATTCTGGAAGGTCCAGATAGGTGGAGCCTTTCGCCTGTTACCTACCCCACCCCGCCACTACCTGCGGAGGCTGCACGGCAGGAAGAGGAAACCCCAGCAAGCTCTAGAATCCAACACATCTGCTTCTAAAATGCAGGCCTACTACTCACTAGCTGTGATAGCCTGGGCATATAATGTGCCCTCTTTAAGCCCCTGCAAAATGCAGATGACAACAGGCACTATTATTACAATACTGTAAGAGAAAAATGAAATTTAAAAATTATATAAAGCATGCTGGGAGAGCTCCAGCATCCACCAAAATGTTTGTGGCCTTCGACCCTTGTGTATGAATAAGGTCTAGGTTTCCAGGACACACTGTTACTCCCTGCCTAGTATTAGACAGATTGTCTCTCCTTTTCCCACCTTCTCTCCAGACTGCCAGGACATCTCTGATTTCCAAGTACCCCAGTCCAATTCTTCTCAAACAATCTGCAGCAAATAACTAGTTTGTTTTTCTGCTTTTTTTTAAATTGAAATTTTTCATAGACTAATACTTGAGGGAAAATAAAAAATATATTACTAGAGAAGTACAATTTTTAAAATAAAATATAAACTCTAATTTTTAAAATTTTTAGATGCAACAGACTTAAAATTACTCTGGCAAATTGTTGTGAAATTTCTAAATGCATCCTTTCCATTTCAGTCCTCCTCATTACTGACTGGCAACAAACAGTTGGAAGATTCATGCAATGGACCACACTATAAAAATGATGCTCAGTACCTCCTTTCTCCAAGCTCCTAACAACCTGATAGTCAGTAAAACCTTAACAACCAAGTACTTAAGGTCACCTTTTTTTTTTTTTCTTATTGATTGTAATTCTTCACTAGACTACATGCTGAGTTCTAGGATCATGTTCAGTGTACCTAGCACAGGACCAGATGCTTCATGGGGGCTTAATTCCTTGCTGATAATCTAAGTATTTAAACAGGCATGTTATTTACTTTCACCTTTTCAAGACTTAGACAACTTGATCTCACATTTGTAAAAATCTGCCTGAGCATCCCTCCTTGTTTGGTGACCCTTCTCCTTCTGTGTCTTTTTCACTAACTACTTCATCTCCATGTAACTGAAATACAGAAGATAATAGTCATTGTTTTCCTTCTACTGATGGAAAATATAGGACAAACTGCAGAAAGTTCCATTCATCAGAAAAGTTGGCTTCTGGCTCACCAGATACACATTCAAGGAAATGGAGTGCTTCTATTAATTTACTTCCTAGGGATACT